TCAAAATCAAACACACAAAATATTAAAAAATCAATCACTTCTGGATCCGAGTATGCTTATCTGGTTAATTATAAGCAAATACGGATACATTTATAAAGGATATCTACAAGAAGTAGGTTAGCTGATTGGGAATGACTCCAGGGAGAAAGCTTTCTTCCCCAGAGGACAATGCACTCATACACTGAAGCTTGCTGGGGTGTGGAAGAGAGTGAGCGTCAGATGGCTTTCTGGCTTCACCTGAGGCTGAATTCACCTGTAGTGTTTGCTGAACTCTATCAACCAAGATGACTCATCTGACAGTTAGCAATGACTATAAGACTATAGCAATGACGTCGCAATTCTTCCAGTGCTCTGAAACAGACTGCTTTTCTGCTACAGTAATTCTCAGACAGTGATCCCGGACACAAAGATGGACCAGCTGCTCTCTTGCAGCTTGGAGTTGGAACATAAAGCCATTCTGGCTGCATCATTAATCCCACCAAAACAATGTGAGATCAAATGAAGGGAAGAAAAAAATCAATTTTACCCTTTGATGGGAGGAAGTGCAACTTTACATTACAGAGGTGAATGCATACAGGAACCACAAAAGTTTGTGGTTTAAAATTTAAACTCGATTTTAGGTTGCCATTCTTTGTATTTTTCTACATGTGAAATAGATGCCCAAAGTCTCAGGTATCACCAGTCCCATCACCAAAGCTCTAAATCCTAGATTATATCCTCTATATCCAGTTCAGATACGGATGAGGCTGCATGCTGACTCCTTCCCTCCACAGACCTGGAATCTAAAATTAGATGATCTATCCCCCATTTGTCTAACTCCAATGATGAGACAGTTGGGATGTTGCAATGGACATTTCTGTTTTAGAATGAACAGAGTGAAAAGATGGTAGACATTAGATTTAAAAACCTTTTTAACTTCACCAAGATGCATGTGGCCACTGTAGCCTACGGGCAAGGATATTCCAAATATTTCTAGGTAGCAGTGGCTCTTGACTGTAATTCATATTTTCTTAACCTTCATCCTAGCAACACAGTGTGGCAAATCTGATGTCTTCTGTTCATTTGAACTGTCCCATCTCTTTAGTGTAAGTTGATATATGAAAAATAGAGTTGGTCCTCATGAGTGTGCAGCAAGCATTAACTGTTGAGCTAACTCTCAAACCCACATTCTGACTTTAAAATATGCCATTTTCTCTAAATCAACATGCCCATTTTCAGGTAAATGAAATGTCTAAGCCTGTTCTATAAGTACCTTTGCATTAAATATACTTTCAGGGCATAGTGACAACCTTCAGATGTAAATGCTGTGAGTCCTAATCTAATGCAAGCCCCTTCTGAGTTTAATATTCTTTTTATAAGGTGTGAAAATTTCAATCCAAAATATGCCTGCTTAATAGTTCCTCTATTTGGTGCTCTCAGTATGACAGTGACTATAGACAGATCCACCTGGGAATTCACCATTAGGGTGTTTGTAATTTTTACACTCTGTTACAATTTATGATGTCAATTATGCTTATGCACAAAAGTTCTTTATGTCTCAAAACTATGTTCTTAAAGAATTTGTTCACCATGTTAAAGTTATAATTGACGTGTGAACATGTATAAAATATACATGATTAGAATGAAATGGCAGTCTTTACACTCCTTTATGATACCCAAGAGGCTGCTTGGAGTTCCTGTGCTTGTCCTGACCATTCACTTCACTGCCATTTCATTCAGAGTGGGAGCAAAACCTTTCTTTGCAAGTTTGTCCATTTTATTTCTTTCTTTGGCAGTGGGGGTGACGTGGTGCTAGAGATGGAAGCCAGGGCGTGTTGGGCAAGCATGAGCTACATCCCCAGATCATTTGCTTATTTAGCTTCTTTGCAGCAGAGGGCTACACAAGGGTGAATCAGCCGGACTTAAACTAGAGGTGGAAAGGGGCTCAGGGCTTTGAGAGAGTGATATTGGTGTAGGAGAGATAGGAAGTTCAAACAGATTATTTACAGATTTACCTTGGGAGCACGGAGGGACAAAGACTCAAGGATGGCTTCCAGGCAATGGGCTGAAGAATGGGGACTCTTCTGCTTCACTGAAAGGAATTAGGGTCCACACACGAGGGAGAGATAACATGCAGTGTTTGTTCTTCTCAGGCTGGGTCATCTCACTTAATATCAGAGACAATGATATTGTGGATGTTCCAGATCCATTCATTTTCCTACAAATTGATTTTATTTTTCTTCAAAGATGAGTAATGTTTCATTGTGTATATGTAAATGTGGATCCTAGCCTGTAATGTGCATTTACATATATGCATTTCTATATGCATCCTAGCCTATAATGTGTATGTGTGTATATATATAGAGGTGTGTAGGGAGACACTGTAGCCCTGCCTCCTAGGAGCCCCTAGAGGTGTGCCTGGCCACGCCCATGAGGGCGTGGTCAGGGGAGATGGAGGATGAGGGGAGAGCCCTTCTCTCTGGCTTCCCTAGCTTGCTGCCTCTGGGCATGCTCTGGCTTGCATTTGGCTGGTGTTTATCTGAATAGAGATATCGTCGTCTCGCAATAGAGGTGTGAGTAAAGTCTAAAAGTCTAGAAAGGAGACGAAGAGCAGATAGTATAGGGTGAGGGGGAAGACTGGAGAGTAGGCAAAAGAGCCCATGGGACATGAAGAGGAAGAGTCTGTGGTGAGGGAGGAGTAGATGACAGACAGAACGGAGAAGGAGAAGAACAACACTTTGTTCCAAAACGTTTTAAGAGAAATGCATTAAAAGTTATTTTAAAAACTAAAAACGCAAAAATGCTACGATGAAGAAACAACCGATAAAAAGAAAAACAGGGACTAAAATTCACATAAAATAGGCAATTTGCTCTCTCTGATTCATTTGCTCACTTCCTCCCGATTATCATATTTGATGAGGTTTGAGTTTATAGCGCACAGTCCTGAGACGTTCTGAGATAAAGCCAAGGGAGGTCAGATGCAGCTACATCTTGCTCATCTGCCCTCTAGGTGGAGGTGCAGGTTGTCTGTCCATCCGCACCCTGCACAGTACTTTACAAAGTTGGTGCCTGTGGGTGGATTGGGCACGATGAGATGAACCACCGTGCTTTCTAGAGGGCTAAACTTCTCCCTCTCTGGTAGTCATCCCCAAACCCCTAATTAATGCCTCCCCAACACTGGTCCTTTACTTCTTTGTTAGTTGTGCATTGCATAAAAAATCACCATACACCTGGCAGCGAAAAACTACATGCATTCATTGTCTTCACAGTTTTGTGGGCCAGGAGTCTGTGAGAACTGCTCGCCAGCATTGGCTCCTCCTGATCACCCAGGCTACAAGGTGTCTGCTGGGAGTGGTTCTCATTGGGAGGCCCTTCCAGGAAGGATCCGCTGTAAACCTTGTTAGCCTTGTTAGCCCTATTCTTTCCCTTAGTTTGTAAGGCTGGACGCCCAGATTCTCACTGATTGTTGGCTCTGTTCTTAAAATAGGAGCCGCAGGTCCCTGCCATCACCCTACTCTACCGAGTTCACAGCATGGCTGTGGTCTCCACCACAGACTTATTCATGTCTATCTGTCCTTTCCCTTCTCACCTAGCCCCACCTCTGTAAGTCCAATTTGTGTTGCTCACATACTCTCCGGGGATGGGCAGTCCTGGAGCAAGGCCCACCTAGTAGGAATTTTACTCTTAAAGACAAATGCCAATAGCTCATCAGCTAGGGAGTGGGACTTCATGACCACGGCTTCCACTCCAAGCTGGAATTTTGTCTGGCTTGAGCTTTCTAATAACTTTTTTTAAACATTGCCAATTTTTTATTAGTTTATTTTATACATTCTAATCCCAGTCCCCCCTCTCTCCTTTGTTCCTACTCCCTCTACTTCCCCTGCCTCCCATCTGCTCCATGAGAGGATAAGGCCTCCCCTAGGAAGTCTACTAAGTCTGTCCCATCATCTAGTTGAGCCAGGACCAAGGCACCTCTCCACCCCCACACCCCTCTGTCTAGGCTGGGTATGGTATCTCTGCATATAGAATGGGCTCCACTAAATCAGTTTGTACATTAGTGTTAGGTCTTGAACCCACTGCCAGTGGCCTCATGTGTTGTCCCAGTCACTCCATTGTCACCTATAACAAGGGAGTCTAGTTTTGTCTTATGCAGGTTCCCTATTTGTCAGAACTGAATCAGTGATCTCTCACTAGCTCAGGTCAGCTGATTCTGTGGGTTTCCCATCATGGTCTTGACTCCATTGTTCATATTTTTGCTCCTCTCTCCCTTTGATTGTACTCTAGAAGCTTGGCCCATTGTTTACTTGTGGGTTTCTGCATCTGCTTCCATTTCTGGAAGAGGGTTGTAGCTTCTCTGAGCTTGTGGATTGTAGGCTTGGTATCTTCAGCTTTATTTCTGCTATCTACTTATGAGTGTGTACATACTATATTTGTCTTTCTGGTTTGGGGTTACCTTACTTAGGATAAGCTTTCTAATAACTTTTAAAGGTTGGGTCTAGTTATTTGTGTATGTAGAACTGCCCCGGCCCTCGGGGATCCAGTAATTCGTGGGTCCGAGGTGGACTAAGCCTGAAAATAATGGGTGGGAAAGAAAGAGCGGGACCAAGCAGGTTTTGTCAAGGCCTGACTTTATTGAAACCAATGTGCGTTTTAAAGAGACAGGAGGAAGCAGAGAAAAAGGAGGTGGGGGCAGGCATGAAAGATAATTGCTCTCAGGAAGGTATCTGGAATCTCCTGTGTTTATCTTAAGCACTAAGAAAGCTAGTTGCTTCTCAGGCCAGGTCCCGGAACCTGAGGGATGGGATGCTAGACTAGCTGGTGGCTAGGTAGGCATGGGGGGGGGGGTTGCCTAAGCTGGCTTCTGACAAGAACTGTGTTGAACCTTCAAGGCAATAATTAGTAAGTTGAATTAGAAGATAAAATAACTTTTTGACCTCTTTTAGAGGTATATAAGCAAACATTTGGTGATAGAACTTTATAACTATCCTATTATCTAACCAAAAATAATTTTTGCCTTCTAGATGAACAAGAGATCGTACAGAAACGCACCTTCACAAAATGGATCAATTCCCACCTGGCCAAGGTAAAGGAAACCTCCCAGAGTTAGAGGCTCATCTTATTGGAGCCAACAGTAATATGGGGCTTCATGTTAGTGAGGTTCACACAGCGCACATTATAAAGGAAGGCTGCTGTCACCACTATTGTTTGGTGATGTTGGCGGTATTATGGGTTGGTTAGCTGCTCTCTAAGTGCAGAGTTTGGTCACTGCCTCTGGGAGGAAATGAGTTGACAGCTGGTCAAGAGATGCTATTTCATGAACCTTGAGAAAGTAGTCCACTCAGTTGTTGCTTCTACTGTATTGTATGTGTAGTGTCAGAGAGAGGATATGTGCTGGATTTTTGTCTGGTGTTGATTCCAAATAAGATAGAAAGGAGCAATGAATAGTCTGTACTGTGCCGGGAGCTTATGTGAGCCAGTCCTGACATTTCATGGGGGCCTTTGGTGAAAATGTAACCTAGGTTGCAGGACAGTAGAAACACTGCAGTCATCCAAGAGTATTTGCATCAGGTCGTTACATGACCATGTGTCCACATGTGGTGCTTTTTAGGTCATCATGTCTCCACGTGTGGTACTGCCTTTGAAAATGAGTTCTAATATGAAATGACTCTTGACCTTAGCATGCCACAATAAATGATTCCACTATGCTGATGATTGAGAAAAAGAACAAATAAACCAAGACACATCATAGATTCCAATTGACAGGACAGTTGTCTCAATTCAGTGGAGGGTGGTGCTCCAGTCCATGAAGCAACTCTTCCTGGGAGACTCCTACTGTAGTTTGAATCTCAGGTGTTCCTCAAAGGTCCAGAAGCTTCAGCAATGAGTGTCACTGTCTCACAGTCTCAGGGATCAATCTGCCAGAAGATTGGGTTTTCTTCAAGAAGGCCTTCCTGGCTTGCTGTCTGCTGCCTTCTTCTGGTGTCCTCACAGGAACAAAAGAGAGCGAGCTCTGGTCTTCTTCCTGTGGTGCTCTGGTCACCACAGAGACCCACCTATGACTCTGTCTAAGCCTCATTACCATGGAAAGGCTCTGCCTTGAAACACCTTCACACTTGGGTCCAGGGTTTCAACATCTGGATTTAGAGGGTATCCAAATATCTAATCTGTGGCAGGCCCCAAGTTTAGTCTGAAGTCTTAAGGCTTGAAGCAAATGAAAATCCCTCTTACATTCCTAATATACATGGGGAACTCAGCCCTGGGATGGCAGTCACCTGCCTGTCTCCCTGTCATGGCTGACATTTCCCTGTATAGTAATCCCAAGTATAGATAGTGTTGTGCATTAGGATTGCTGAACATTGTCTGACAATCAAACAACTTGATAAAAGCTAAAACGTGTTACATTCCTTTGTTACACACCCTGCCCCACATACACTTTCTGCAATTTTCTGTTTACATCTATCAATGAAAGTAAGAAGAATGACCAATGCCTCAAAGTATTTGTGGGTTTTTTTTTTCCTGATAATCTAAATGTTGGTTTTAACGTTCCATGACAGGCCAGGGCATTTCATCTCTGTGAACATCAAAGGAGGAAAATGTCGAGTTAATTGGGGAAAAAATTAACTTATTTCTAGAATGCAGCATATAAATGTACAGTATTTGACAGTCTAAGGACTTAGGTACAACAAACATGGGAAATTTTGTAGATTTGAACTATAGTGATAAATCCTAAGTTCTGTGATAGTATCTTGCCATCTTTAGTGTTTTAACAAACTAAAATTATTTAAAAAACTTTAGAGAATAATTTAAGAGCCCTTATTATTGTAAGGAATATACCACTTCCCCAGAATCCCCTTAGGATATTGAATATATTCAAAGTTGTCTTTAATAACAGATCCTTGCGGGTATACGGACAGGGATGCAGAGATGAGACACAAAACTGTTGGTATCTCTGACCTGTCTGAGGTCATCAGTTTTGGACCCATGGGGACATATTCAGAGATGCCCAGAGGGGTTAATTTGAGTGTGTGTGTATGTGTATGTGTGTATGATTTTATGTGTTATGTGTGTGTGTGAGAGTGCACACGTGCGTGCGTGCGCGCGCGCACACACACACACACACACACACACACACACACACACACACACATACTGGTTCACAGAGAAAATGGGAAATGTATGATGTTGCACTCTGGGATGCAGAAAGGCCAGGATTCCCTTGAGACCCCGGGACGACTCATCCTTGCCTCTGTCTAACTTTCGATAGAGAATGTCTGGGTTTGCAACACTGTAGCCTCTATCCCTGGGTGTATGACCACCTGTGCCTACAATTGCCCCTTCATATAAAGATGCTGGTCATACTGGTCCATGGCAATGACTCCATTTTGACTTGATTTCACTCCATGAAGACCCTATTTCCAAATATAGCAGCGTTCTAAAGTAATGGAATTAGAGTTTCAATGCACATTGTGGGAACAGTAATGCTGTACAGAAGACATCTATGAAGAGCACATTTTCGTTTTTATACTAAATTCAATCCAGTTATTACTTTGAAAGGATCAGTTAGGACTTCCAGTTTGAAGATCTATAGATCTATACTAGTTAAACTAAGTGACATGTTCACTGATAGTAAATATCACCTTAATGGCTGTTTTCATTTTCCCAGTTATTTTTCCACCAACTGCATATTACATGAGAACACTTTCTTAATTGAGTTTCTCTCCCATCCCTTTCCTTGCATACACTCTGGTGGACCTATTAGTGAGCCAACACAAGAAGATGACAGAGCATAGGGGTCAAGATAATGCCTAAATCCAATCCGTTCTTCACTTGTTTTCTTAAAACTATAGTGTGGTGATATATTATTTATGATTTATTAAATCCAGCCTGAGGATTCAGAAAGCAAAACCAGCCTCAAGATATAGAGCCAAGCAGTACTGGTACACACCTTTAATCCCAGGACTCAGGATTAAGAGATAGACAGATCTCTGTTGGTTCAAGGCCACCATGCCTACACAAGAGTGAAGAATAACAGACCTCATGCCTTCGATCCCAGCACCTGGGATCACATGCCTTTAACCCCAGCATTATGGGGACATATAAGACAGGAGCAAGATTTCAGAGCTGGGACTCACTCTCCAGCCACATTGAGGATAGGAACACTTTGAGTCTCAGGATTCTCCAGCCATGTTGAGGAGAGCATAGCAGTCTGGGATTTCAGTCTGAGGTTTGGTGGAGCCAGGATCACCTTTCAGCCTGAGGTAGAGGTAAGGGGTAGTGACTGGCTGCTTTGCTTTTCTGATCTTCAGCTTGAAGCTTGAACCCCAGTATCTGTCTCTGGGTCATTTATTTTTCATGTCACGTTATGGTACCTCTGTGAGGTCATGAATATGCTAAGTTGCTTGCTTTTTGTACTTTTCCAGTGTACTCACAGATCAAAATGTCACCTCATACACTGTAAATATATCCAATGTTTAGCTGCTAATTACACCTTAATAAATCTAGGGAAGCTGAATTGAAAATTAGTTATTTCCAAATGTGCAATTAAATGATTACAAAAGAAACCCATCCTAAAATGCATCACTCTCATTAGTTTGAGAACTGTTAGAGTATGGGTAATTTGACTTCAGAGCTCACAAGGTTTATGGGGATTAATAAATATTTTGATAAAGGTTGTCACAGTTTCTTCCTTCAAAATATATCATATTCACATATTGACATATATTTTGGAATGTGGTTTGACAGCCTAAGTGATACTCTAGGTACTGAAAAATGAAACCAGGAACAAAACAGAAGAAAAGAATTTCTGTCAGCAAGTGTAGGTAGCTAAAGGTGACTAGATTCTGGATGAATTTTGAAAATAAAGCCAGTACCATTTGAGGATGCCCTAGTAACTAGGTGAGTGATGGGGAGGTGTCAAATACAACCCCATATATACTACATAGAGGAAATAAATGAGGGCATGTACTGGCTCCATGCTACATGGCAGAAAACATTTTATTGTACAAAAATAAATAAATAAATCATTACTAACAGAGCTTTCTCTGGAACACTTGAAGCTGGGCCAGCCGAAGGGGGATATTGCCCATGGGGCCTTTATTTGATGCTGAATTAAATAATCAAGGAAGTGGAAATGGTTATGCTCTCCATTAGAGGAAATGAAACAGAATGGAAGTATCTCCCCACCGCTGCCAAAGAATGGTGGGAAATAACCAGAGCACTTCCATGAGAGCACCGAATGAGAAGTAGATGCACACAAAATATTTGAATTACCTTGTTTGTAGAGCTATTGGGAATGCCTTTTATTTTCTGAATGGCATGCAAACCCTTTTAGATGTTACATTAGCTTTAGTTAGATGGTGCCTGTAGGCATCATCATGGTCTTAATCAATCTGGTGCAAAACTAGCTTGGCATTTTGATAGATTTTATTGTAGTAGGATCTTGTCCAACTTTTCCAGAGGTGACTCACCCGGATATCTGCTGGTCAACCCCTCATCCCTTTCTGGTCATCTCTCTGTTCCTGTTGTTTTGTGTGTTGTCCCACCCTGCAGATAACCATCAAGGAATGGGGGCTTCCCATGCAGGCTCTAGGATGGGAAACTTACCATCTATACTCTCCCTTAGCCCGTATCCTTTTCTGAGCCATATGTAAGTCAGATGGAGTAGTTTGTCTGTTTCTATGAATGAGGGGCCATCTGCCACCCAGAGGGCTCAGGGGTATATAGAGTGAGAATAGAGTCATCTATTTTCTCAGCACCTCCCAACACCTTGTGCAGAAGGCAGTACTGTGAATATACCAGGCCATGATCTGGTGTCATGCTTAGCAACCCTTAATTATGCTTACACTATGTGTTTCACCTTAAGAAAGTGGCTGTCTGTGACATGAACTCCCCTTAGACATTTTCTAGTCCAGTTTCACTAATGTCATTAGATATCTAGCAATCACTAATATTATCTATAGGATATATATTCATCATCTTAAAGTAACATACCATAGGATTTTGTGGCATAAAATATTTGGTCAAGTTTTTGCCCATGGAAAACAAAACTCTTAGTAGATAACCAAACACAATGATGGTAAGTGG